CTTTTCACTGTAACTTTGAAACTACAGCTACTCTGGGGACCATTCCACTGAAGATGGAAGATGTCAGGCATCGGGTTGCTGCAGGGCTGGAGGGTTATAAAAGTCTCTCTTCAGCTGTTCTTTCCTGACCCACTATATTAAAAAGTCTGCAGTGTGAGTTTAAGCATAATAGATAGATCTGTTAAGGATGAGGTACAGGGTTCATTGGTCCCCACTTCTAGAATCCTAGGACTTATGTCAGAACATATGCATTGATATTTAGACATAAAGATTGATATTTTCCCAGGTCACATATGCCAGTGGAACTACTGCTTTCGTAGTCCAGCTCCTTAGTAAATTGCAACCTGTGAGTCAGCAGTTTACACCCGTCCTTATTTATTCATTCACCCATTGGTCATTCAATGAACTGGAGACACACAACAATGAACAAGAAAGTGCCTGGCTTTCTGTAGTATAATGTCCTAATAGGAAAGACAACACTGCACAAAAATAGTTAGCTGTGAGTTAAGTGTTGAGAAGGGAAGGGCAGAGTGTATTGAGAGTGTAAAAGGGAAGAAGGAGTTGATACGGAAGAAATATTGGTGACTTGGTCTAGCCAGTGGGGTAGGAAAAATGAGGATTCCAGAAATATTGAGGAAGTAAAGAAAGCAGGACTCAAGTCATGAGAGATTTCAAGTGGTATGAAGGAGAAGAGAGAACTCACGATGACCTTAGGTTTCTGTCTTGAGCATCTGTCAACAGTGCCATTTACTACAATGGGGAATCCTGGAAGAGGAGCCTTTTTGGGAATGAAGATCATATAAGTTTGGGGTTCCTCTGGGATGTCCGAGTGGGATTGTTCAGTTGATAGTTGGACACATGGATCTAGGTTTCAGTAGAGCTCTGAACTAGAGATAGAGTTTGGAGGTGAGTCATCTCTGAGTGATAATCTCATTGAAGAAAGGAGACTGGAGATAATCTGAGGACAAAGGAGAGAATGTAAAGAGAAAATGAGGACCGAGCTCTCTTACATCAAAGGCTGCCTGGAGCATATAGTGAGAAGGAAGTATCATTTTTTTGCACAGGTTCTGTACTGTCTGACGGAAATACAATGTGAGCCACATATGTAATTTTAACGTGTCTAGTAGCCACATTTTTAAAAAGTAAAAAGGAACAAGTGAATCTAATTTTAATAATGAAACTAATTTTCATAATATCCAAAATATTGTCACTTTACCATGTGATCCACATAAAAAGTTTCAAAATATTTCACATTCTTTTTCCAAGTCGTCAAGTCTAGTGTTCATTTTACATTTATAACATATCTCAGTTCAGACTAGCTGCATTGTAAGTGTTCAGTAGCCACATGTGCCTAGTGATGGGCATCCAGTTCTAGTTCATCTTGGCTGTCTCTCCTCCTCAGTTTGTGTAGGAGAGCCATAAATGATTTCTAGATTTTTTTTTATGCTTTAACATGGTTTTCAACCAGGGGCAATTTTGCAATGTCTCGCAATATCCAGAGACATTTCTGGTTGTCACCAACTGAGGGGTAGGAGAAAGAAGTTCTCCAGGCTCCTAATGGGTAGAGGTGAGGGCCACTGTTAAACATCCTACAATGTACAGGGCAGACCCCCACAGCAAAGAGTTATCAGCCTGAAATCTCAACAGTGCTGAGGTTGAGAAACCCTGCTTTGAAATTACACTGTAATTAAACAGTTCTGATTGAATACTTACTGAGGCACACACACACATATATACACAGACAACTTAAGTTTTGATTTCTAGGTTGGTTACAGATCAACAATAGAAATAATTATTGCTAGTGTTTACATAATCCTTTATAAAGTTTATAGCAGCACTTTCACATACATTATACTATTAATTGGCTATATATTTCATTTTCTTCCTAGTCTACCAGAACTGTGTCCTTAATCATAAGCTTTGTATAATTATTATTGACATTTATTAGCAAATATCTTATATTGCACTGTAATTTTAATTTGTCAAGATTTTTGAGGGAACTATTAAAACACCTTTATGAGCTAAATTTTATCTTATTGCTAGGTCGTATTTCAACTCAAATCTTAACAGTTCTTTCTCTAGTATGAGTATAACCCTCTAGAACTTGTGGGGGAAGGGTCTGTTGTTTATGTTTTCTTTTTCTTGTGATTACTTGGGCCTTGACTTTCTCTCTCTTCCCTCTCTCCTCCCCATCCAGATCCCACATACCCCCACCTCTGTATAATAAGGGGGAAATAATCTTATTTATTCTCCTTCCTCCTCTGCTTACTATCAGTGCCACCTTTATAACATTCCCTAAAATAACAAACATGTAATTCATTTCTAATAACATCTAGCAATCCATATCAAGTCAGAGGAAGAAATTTTTTTCTACTGAGTATTAATGAAACCAGGAATGATAAAAAAGAAATGTAAATCACTAAGGTATGCTCCATTTGTTTGAATAGCATTAGCCACCAAAGCATAGTCAGTGCTTAGTTAAGAAAATTAATATTTTCAGAATTATAACGGAGAGTGCTAAAGCTCTTTGTTATGAAAGAAACATTAAGTTTTCAATAGGATAAGTGGAAAGAAAATGGCTATGAATTGTGTGAATTTATACTGAAAGGTCACCATAACTTGATATAAATGCATAAGGTTGAGATGATGGATTCTTAACTCTGTTATATAAAATAAGTAAGCACCTGCTGTCTTCTCTCAGGCAAATGCCAAGAAACACAGATTTGAGAAAGCTTAAAGAACTTCAGCTATTTAGAGATAATGACATCAATACTGCTTTCAATAAGCAAACAATTGGTCAACAAAATGTGACTGCTGTAATGCTTACTTGATTCCTCAAGAGAGACTCTCATGTGTGTTCCAGATTGGTTTGAAGGACTTTGTACAGTACATTGCGGGAGGCGTAATTTACCAAGGCCAGAGGAGTAGCCTTGATGTTGAAGTATGCTACAGACAATACTTTTTTCAAATTCCACTATGACTTTTTTAACTTTTAAAAAGTGGCATTCTTTATTCTAGGAGCAAAAATAGAAAGGTCCTTCTGGAAAAAGATAGTTATTTAGTTTGTGATTCATTTGGAAACAAAACCCACCAACCATAGCTTTATTCAAGCTTTTAATGCATCCTAGACCAAGAATTCCCCATGCCAAATGCATTATTTATGTAAGTTGTAGAGTCAAGAGAATCAGTTGGTAGAGGGTGACCTGTCTGTCTTCAGGCCTGTTTATTACCCATCAACTTTTTTCTATCTGTACACAGTGCCCATAATTTTATTAAGAGGCATCATTTAAGTAACAATATGTATAAATAATAAAAGTCAGTTAGTTACAAAAAAAATCATTGATTACAAAAGCTGGAATAGACCATATTAGCCTCTTTTCTTCCTGTGCTCTTTATGAGTGAATACTTTCTCCATTAATGTGGTTGGTGGGTTATTTTTAATTAGTATCCTTCCTTCTCCTCAGCTGCATATAAAAATATCTTTTGATTATCTTTGCCCATGCATCTTTATGGATTATGGGAAATACTTGGGAGTGATTTCTGGTCAAGGTGTCAGAGTAGTAGGACCACAAACTCTCCTCTCCTTGCAACTACAACAAAACCACCATCGACTGCTGAACAGCCATCGGGATATACTTCGGAAGCATTTGTGTTCTGTTATTCTCCCTACAATCTAGTATTTCCCAGAATGTTCTGGGATGGAGAGTAGCTGAATGTTGGGAACAAGTATCTTAAAAGGTAGTTTGAGCAGAGATAAATAGTCAAGATCGGTCTACTCTTGTCTGTTTATGCTTGATTTCCAAAGCTTTTTAACAAAAGACCCAAGAGTATTATTAGCTACTTAAAGGAAGGTACTCGTTGACTTCAAAATAGCAGATTCCCAGGTAGTTAATTTCTTTGAGATCCAGACGGCTTCCTTATAGTTCAGTCTCCAAAGTATCAAAGGAAGAGGAAATAGATTTAGGCCTAGGAGAGGGAGCCACGGGGCTGCAGGAACTGGGTTGAGGAAGACTCTTCTAGGAAAAGGGAAGGAAGAAGTCTTGAACATCCTGGGAAGTTATGTGGCTTCTCAGTCCCAACTGATAAAGGAAGTTACAAGTAGAAGAGTCTTGCTGCTTCTCAGAGGGTTTAAAAATAAACAAAACTAAAGAACTTTACTCATTGGAAGTTAGTTTTAAATTGCCTTCTTTTGAAAGGTAGGTATTTCTAAGAGGGCGATGACATATTCATTCACATCTTATTGGGATTAGTACGTTCAGTTTATTACCTGTCTGCTTATTGGATCAGTCACCTTGCGGGAATGGGTATTTTAGTCAGTGAAAGACATGGGAAATCATTTTGAAATGGAGAGGAGAGGCTTAAAGAGGAAACTATAGTGGCACGTTGGTGATTAGTGGGATGCTGAGAGGGGAGGAAAAATAGGAGGGCAAAAGTAAAGTAGTTGAGAGAGTGCCAACCATAAACTTCATTTGTTTGGAAATACCCTCCTCCTTTTTTTTTCCTTTAGCCCAGGTATAAAATGACTCAGGCTCAAGAAAGGATAGAGGCTATCATTTTTAAATACCCAGGTGAGGATTACGGGAGTGTGGTAAGGATATTTTAGAGAGGGTGGGGTTTCTCTTTTATGCCAGGATATGATTTTCCTGCCTTCTGGGGGTTTAGCCCACGTATAAAATGATTCAGGCTCAAAAAGGATAGAGGCTATCATTTTTAAATACCCAGGTGACGATTATGTAGGTGTGATTAGTCAAATCATTGGCCAAGTGATTAACTCGATTTCCAGCTCCCCCCCGCTTTTCCAGAGTCTAGGCTGGCTCCAACTCTAGTCACACAGTTGGTCTTTCTGGTGACCAACTTCTGTTCTTTTTAGGCACATCTAAACATTTATTTAGTAAATGAGTAAAACACATCCATTGTTCTCCTTGTGAGATTGTCTGATAAATGTATTTTCTTTCTTTTTTTTAACTTTTTATCGAGTTACAGTCATTTTACAGTGTTGTGTCAAATTGCAGTGTAGAGCACAATTTTTCAGTTATGCATGAACATACATATATTCATTGTCACTTTTTTTTTTTTGCTGTGAGCCACCACAAGATCTTGTATATATTTCCCAGTGCTATGCAATATAACCTTGTTTATCTATGCTACATATGCCTGTTGACCAACCTCTGTTCTGATTCGTCTTATTAGCATAAACTCAGGTGTAATCCAACGCCCTGCCATGAATAACAGAGACATTAGCATCACCCTGGAGATTCCAAGGGTTTAGAGCCTCTACTCTAGGATTCTGGGACAAAGACCAGGCAAATTCTTTATTACATAGCACCTTTTCTTTCCTATTTGTTGACTGATTCATTCAGTCAGTCATGCGCTCGCTCACTCATTCAACAAGTAAGATTCCAGAGATAAAGCAGCAAGCAAAACTGATAACTGTTTTTGCTTTCATGGAAGACAGCCACTGAACAAGTGATTGGGAGCATGTTGCATGTAATGAAAGGGTATGTTACTGAGGAGGCTAAGAGTGTTGGAGACAATCCTTCTGAAAAAGTAATAATTTAAGTTGAGACCTGAAGGCTAATTAACTCTGAGAGGAGAGGTGTTTCCAGGTAGAAGAAGCAGTATGTACAATAGCCCTGAGGTGATCCGCGCTTGGCAAGTTGGAGAAACTGACAGGAGATCTGTAAACCTAGAGCACGGATTGCGAAGATGACAGCGGCTAGGCTCTGGAGATTAAGCAGCACCAGATCACAAAAGGCTTAGAAAATCAGGCTGATACGTTTGGGCTTTTAATAAAGGACAATGTAGATGTTGTAGAGCTCGTAAGTAGTAAGTTGAGATCACACTAGGATTTTAGAGAGATCCTTCTGACTGTGAAGTGGAAGAGGCAAGAACTGATAGCAAGGAGACCAGTAAGGCTACTTCAGCAATCAAGCTAAGATGAGGATGGCTTCTCTTAGGATGATGGCAGTGAGAGTGAATACAAGGAAACTGACTAGAGAGATGTCTAGGAAATAGAAATAGGTCTAATTTCTGATGAAGTCCTCATTAGAGGTCTTGTCTGACAGAAGGAATGAAGAATAGTAGTTTGTTTTTAATTAGTACTGCCAAGTTCATTAAGTGTTTTTTATATGCCAGTCACTGTGC